ATTACCGGTGAATCTACCTGTAATAAAACAAAAAAATAAATAAAACTTCAATTAATTCAAATATTCAAATTGATAACCAAAAAGTGATTTTGAAGCAAAAATTATTAAAGCGAAAATGAATGAAAAATGAAACAAAAAATGGAAAAAAAGAAAAGAGCAAAGAAACAAAACAGCAAAAAACTACGAAAAAAACGACAGAAAAATTGAATTTATAAATGGATTTACACTCACAGCTTGATTGTTTGAAGCAAAATTATTAAATTTATTATTATTATTCATCATAAATCTATTTCGGCATTGTGTTGAAATTGAAATGGATGGTATCTGATATGAATTTGGATAATAATTATTTATGGTTGTTGCTATTGAAGATGTGCTCGAGGTATTCAATTTATTTAATGTTGCATTTGTTGTTGTGATCGTATTGGTTGTATTGGTGGCGGTGATTGTTGGATTAATACTACTGCATATTGCGGTGGTGGTGGCAATGGTGGTGGATTTTAAAGCAATTTCATTCGTTGGCCATGATGATGAACATGTCGTTGCTCGTTGTTGTTGTTGTTCCTGTTCCAGTCGTTGTTGTTGTTCCTGTATAACATTTGATGATCCATCAATAAAAACCGAATCAATTTTTGACTGTATTTGATCGATATCATTATCATCATGATTATCATCATTATCATCATATAAAAATTCATCTTCTTCTTGTATCGAACTTGGTAATGAAGAACTTAATACAATTTTCTTTTAAAACATTGAACATTGGTGGTTTACAGACAGGAACGACATATATACGCGGAAGGATACATTTTTGGTTCCGAAATAAAGCATAGACATCAACCACAACAACAACAGTGACAAAGACGGCGACGATGATGAAGGATATACAGGTGGTGGTGGTGGTGGTGAGGAGGGAGGAATCACAAGACACATTTTTTTAGTTAGTTAATTTTAAAATTTGGATTCAATTCTATAAGGAATTTTAAGCAACTAACTATAGTGTTTAAAGGGTTAATAATGATGATGATGATGATTTTGATGGTGGTGGTGGTGATGGTGTTAATGAAATGAAATGAAATGTTTAACACTTACCTTTGTTTGTGTACTTCTGGAACCAGTTTGTGTACGAAATCCTGGTCCTTTTGGTAGATTTTTCTGATTCAAACAACAAACAACACCTGGACTAAAATGTAATTCAACATGAAAACGATCATCGGATTGAGGATTTTTTGTTTGATCTTCATATAACATTATAACAATTTGTGTTAAATAGTTTAATTCCGAAATAACTGAAATATAATCCATTGCACGTTTCCATTGTTCATCTTTGGATTCATCGAAAAGTCCACCTAAATTGAATCAAATCAATAATCAATGAAATCAATGGAAATGTCAAAAATCAATCAAACAAACCTAAACGTATAACATTCAATAATGAATGAATATGACTTTCACTTGTAAAATAAAGACGTGTACGAACATGACGACCAGGTGATGATACACCATATGAATATTGTGGATTCAGACGATTAACTGATTCACCAGTTTCTTGATCAACCGATTCAGCATCGGTAATAATACTCAGCAGGTCGGCTTTAATTTTTTTCAATAATGGTGTACAAGTACCCAAGCCGATTGTTAATTTTTCATAAACATTTGTACCATATTCTTGTGGTATAACAATATCGGCCATTGCTTTTGCATTTGTATAAAAATCATGTGCATCCGATGATTGTAGGAAATGTTGATTATGTTGTAAATCATATTTAATACAATCATAAATATCCGGTATTTTTGTTATATCATATTTTCCATTTTTTAATTTAAAATCTTTTTCCAATTTTGACCAACGACGTTGCATTAGGTCCCATGTTTCACCATAATAAAGATGTGCATCTTGTAAATGACTTTCATTTCGTCGTTCTTTAATCAGATTATTTAATTTTCTAATAAAATTATGTATTTGATCACATGATTTTACTGGATTTTTTACAAAATTCATTGCATTCATTATGGATGGTGCTTTCATTGGATTCAATTTTTTTTCATCTTCCTCTGTAAATTCATGATCCAATTGCATTAGTTCATGTATTTTTTGTTTAACCATATTTTGAAATTTACTTGAATCACAATCATTATCTAATAAACCATTTGTATTTGCACTTTTAACCATTTGTACCAGTATGGGTGTTAATTCACCTTCCAATGCAAGTAATCCTTTTGCAAATGCAGCAGCAGTCATTTGTACACGACCTTCATCTGATGCATAAATTTTTAAATCATGACGAAATGTTGAATGCAATCGGAGAAAACCAAGACCTTGATTACCGGAATATTCACCTTGTCCACCCGGATACATACAACGAAACAATTTTCCCATTTCTTCTGCTTGAATACGACCTCTTGGTGTTAATTCACCACCCCATTTAACAATACAAAGTAATGATGGTTCACGTGGTAGATCTTCTTCACTACTTGAACGACGTGGTCGTCCTTTTGGTTGATATTTTAATTGAACTTTACGATTAATACCGGAAAAGTGGCCATACATTTCTAGAACAGATTTCAGTTGTTCTAATTTAAAACGATTTTCTTCAATTTCAGGATCATGATTTTGATCAATTTCACTAAGCAAATATCTTGCTACATCCAATATTTCTTGTAATTGTTTTGGTTGTTTTAGTTTAACATGATGTTGATTATCTTTAAAACCACCATAATTTTCAAATATTTTAAAAAATTTTGGATGTTTTACTTCCATTTTCATTTTTTGTTTTGGTGTACGATCACCATGACGTATAACACCGACAACACAACGTAGTTCCATCATTTTACCGAATGTTGTTGGCATTATTGGTGGATCATCTAATTGAAACGGTATCGACCATGGTATATGTAGTTGTGGTGCTAATATTCGTAGAATCATATTGCCCAATAATTTTGCTGCATCATCATAATATTTCATTGAATTTTTTACGAATGAAAATCCATTCACATCACATACATAGGATTTCCCATTGGCACGTAATAAATCAAAACCACAAACTGTTTGCCGAAATGCTAAACAAACTTTTCGTGCTATTAATTTTTCTACATTACTTAACATAACCGGATAACGAACTTCTTTTCCATCTTTATCACGTTCAACTTTACCATCTAATGCTGGTGATTTTCTTGCTTCTGCATGTGCATAATCTGGTCCAACCGTATAAACTTTAACATCAGTACCATCGGTAGGCATAAATTCTTCATAAATATAGCTACCAGTTTTTCTTACTTGACTTTCTTGTGAATAAACCGATGACCGAGAACCAATTTTTCGAAATAAACGTTGACTACCACCACCAGCTGATGATGGATAATAAATATAAATATTATGATCTTCAGCTGAAATAGGTTTTTCAACAAATGGTTTATTAAAAACAATACCATTAACTTCGATTGAATCTTCACTTTCGATTAGAATACCTTCATTTGGATCGGAAGAATCACGATCCAAAACAACATAACGTGGTAATTCAATACCAGAATCTTTAATTGTTTTATAAACTTTACGTCGATCTTGTATATCATATTGCATATGTAAATCATTTATAACAAATGGTTCACGTAAATTTGCATATTCGATTGCTTTGTTTAATGGAAAACCTTTTGAATGAAATGATATTAAACAATCAACAATTGGCCATTCATTGACAGGTGAATCCAATATGATTGTTTCATCAAATACAACCGTTCGAATATATTCAAATTCATTCAAACGTGATAGAATTTCTTTCATTGGTTTTGATTGTGATTTTTTTGACATAGCACATATACCAACTAAAACTTGTTTTTCTTCTTCTTCAACAACATCATCATCATTATCTTCATCTTCGTAATCATCATCGTAATCCGCATTATATTCTTCATTTTCATTTGATTGTTGTTGTTGTTGTTGTCGGTGTTGCTCATCCAAGTCTAAATCATCAAAATTCTAGAAAACAAAAAGAAAAATCGTAATTTCAATTAAAAAATCAATCGGAAAAAATTATGGAAAAGAAGAGACTCGATAAATACTACCTCCCAATCAAAAAACATAACGGCTATTTGAATTTCAATTTTTTTGTTTATTATTTTTTCAAAGGAAAAACAACGTGATGAGCAGCAACATTATTTTATCAACATTTTGCGAACTGAACAGCAGACAGAAAACTGATGATAATGATGATAAACTACGGTTGTTTGTTTGTTTGTTTGTTTTTTGTATTATCATCATCATCATCGTTTTCATGAATATGGATTTATTATTTTACTCAACTACGAATCGATCAAAAGCAAAAGCAAAAGCAAAAAACTTGTTATTATATAAAAAAAACCAAGCAATCTATCATTCCATATTTGTTATTCGGCTGTTGTTGTAACTAGAATCAACTTGTTTCATTTCATCATCATCATCATCATCATTGTTGTCATTCGAAACGAATGTTTTTCTCTATAAAGCTCTTTTAGGAGATTCTACTATTCATTTGCAATTCACTGTTAGTCATTGTTGGATTAATTCCCGATTTAGCAAAACAATCGTATAGGAAAATATGACAAGCTCTCATATGATATAACCTGTCAACAACAGTCTTTGTCAACAGTTTTAATCTAATCAAAACTTTTGATAAAAAAATTACATACTTTTTCATCATTATTTAGATAGAAAAATGGTCGTCCATGACGATATCCTTTATTTTTTTTTCCTTTCTTTCGGTTTGATAATGGTGGCCGTAAATGTTGTTGTTGTTCAGAATTCGAAGATGATGATGATGATGGTTTCATTGTTTCTCGGGATAAAAAAAATATTCAAGTCATCATTTTTTTTGAAATGAAAATTTCATCAAACAACAATATTGTTGAGGGGATTCTAATTCCGTCTGGAAAAAAAGTCACCCGATATGACTCTTTTGATCAAAACACAATTTTCGTAATGATTCATAAACAAACCAAAAGATGGCATCCAAGAAATTCCAAAAAAAAAATTGAGATTATCCAGCTGATGACGGCAACAATTTATTTTCCTGAGTTTTCAAGTGCTTTTTGGTTTTTTCTTTTTTTTTAAATCAAAATCATGGATTCGAATAATAAAACATCCGATTCGGCAATATTATTTTTGGATTCGACATTTGATCCACCGTTGAATCCACCACCATCAACATCAGATAATCATCCAACACAATCAATGGATGGACATCAAATATTGAATCAAGTTCAATTACAATTTATACCGAGTGGTAATGAAAATCTTTATGTTAGTGGACAAATTCAAAATACACAACAACCAGCAGCAACAAGATCATTTGTATTGGAACCATCTATAATTGTAACCGGTTCAACTGAACAACAAAAAAATCGTGATACAGATTTTCTTGTCGATAATGATGATACACAACCGATTGATTTGGGATCACCTGATGGAGCGAAAATGGCCAATGAAAATCAATCAAAACTAACTATATGGCAATTTGATTATTATGCCCGTTATTTTGATCTTACAACTGATCAATTTATTCGTCGAATTATTTGGTCACCGGTTCCATTGACACAAGGTAATGAAAAAGGAACATATATTGATCGTTATATACATTCGAATCCAGATCTTTATGGACCATTTTGGATACCAATTACATTGGCATTTACTATTTCAATTTGTGATGATATTATTCGACATATGAATTTGAATTCAATGAAAACCATTTCAACAATCAATCCTATGATGATGGATCATAATTCAACAATCAAACCGACACCAATAAAGCAAGAATATCATCCATTAACATTCGAATTTGAACGTATCAATATGGCAATGACAATAACATTTTCATATATTATTTTAGCACCATTAATATTATGGTCATTTTGTCAATGGCGTCGTTGTTCAAAACTTTATACATTTATTGAATGTATTTGTGCTTATGGTTATTCTCTGTCATTATTTATACCTGTTACCATTCTGGCATTGATTAATAATCGTCAAATTCAATTTATATTTTTTGCTTCTGCAGCATTCCTTTCTGGTTCAGTTTTGCTAATATCATTCGGACCGGTTGTACATTCTGATCCATCACGTTCATTTAAATTTGCATATGTTATGCTTATATTTATACTTATATCACATATTGTATTGGCATTATTTTATCTTTATATGTTTCTTTGAGTTGGAAATAATTTCATAGTCAGAAAGAGAGAGAAAAATGGATAAGTTTTATTGTTACTATTATTAATTACAAATACGAGAAAATTACAAAATAAAAATTGTTTTTTACAGCAGCAAGGTAGTTGATTCATTTGAATTTACAATTGTTTCAACATTAAATACGATCGTATTGATTCAGGCAGATATTTTAAATATTCTATCGAACGATCTGAATATCGACCTAATGATTTTCGAATGGAACAACGACATAGATGCATTAAACGTGGAAAATATGACCCTGGTTGTTGAAATAGAAATTGTTTGATTTGTTGAAAATTTTTCGGATCTTCATTCATACGATATTCATCGGATAGATAACGTGATAATTGTTGTAAATCTTTTGTTGAAATAATTGGTAATGTTGCTAGTGCTTGTCGTGCAAGAACATATTTACGATCACGTATTAATGAAAATATTGGCGTTTCACCACGTAGATTTTCCACACCTACATCGGCACCATTACGAATAAGTTTTTCGGTAATCGAATCTTGATTACGATCAATCGAAATGTTTAATGCAGTATCACCACCTGGTGATAAACCAATCGGTTGTTGACGATGATGATTATTTTCAAATTCCCGTGCATTAACATTACAACCATGATCGATTAATAATTGTACAGTTTGATTACCATCATCAAAATGATCACTTGATCGACGAATAGCAGCCAATAATGGTGATATACCGGCCAAATTTGCCTCGTTTGGATTACAACCCGAACGTAATAACAGTTTAATAAGACGTACATTTAAATTATAATTAGCAAGTATAGCTGTTAATAATGGTGTTAAACCAGAATGATTTTTCGAATTTACATTTGCACCACATTTTATAAGATAATCAACAATATCGATTTGAGTATTCGATGGATAATTATAACATGCTTGATTTAATGGTGTATTTCCATTTGATTGATCTTGTTTTTCAATATCGGCACCAGATTCGACAAGAATTTTGACTAGTTCTTTGCGGGGTTAAAACAAATGAAAAAATTTACGAAATTTACTGAATCAAAAAACACTTACCAAGTGAATGAGTTTCAATAGCCAACAATAATGGTGTTGATGATCGAATTGAATGAATATTTGGATTTGCACCAGCACTAATCAATATTGAAGCAATTTTTGGATAAACAAATTGACATGCATAATGTAATGGATACATAAATGAACGATCCATCATATTAACATCGGCACCATTTTCAATAAGAAATTTAACCATATTCAGATTACCATTTTTAACACTTAAATGAAGTGGTAGTTCTTTTCGATGATTAAAATAGGAATTTGCATTCACCAGATGAATAATTGATTTGGCTAAATTAATATTATTGGTTACGATAGCAATTTCGAAAATATTTTCATTTGTTTCACCAACTACAACACCACCGCAAGACATTTTTTCCATTCAATGACGATGATCGAAGAATTCCAATTCGAATTCAAGAATCTTGGATGAATTCATTCAACGCAAATCATTTCGGGTGTGAACAATTGTTTTTTCACTTCACTTTTTTAGATTTTCCAATTTTTTTCCAATTTTCGAATATAGAAAAAAAAGAATCACATGGAACGCAACAAAACAACACTAACAACAACAACAATACCCACCACTACCATTCATCGAACGAACGAACAAGAACAGAACAGACCAATTTTATTCTTTAACCAAGACGTACACAGCAGAACACAACAGAACATAGTCGATAATATAAAAGTCGAGTATCCTTGATCAAGGATTCTTTTTTTTTTTCGTTATAATAATCATCATTGTGTAATAAAATTAGTAATTTTTATTTATTAATCGTAGTTATAATAAATATATAAGTCAAATTACAACTATTTTTTGTTTTGTTAACAACGATTGATGATGGTTGGTGATACAATGATTGATTTGATGTGTTCAACCACCAAATTAATGGCGATTCGAACATTTTCCTATAATGAAAAATGAAAAATGAATTTTATTCAATTTTTTTAAATGAAAAAAAATACAAACCTGTCTACCAATGATGAAAAATTGACACGGATTACAATAAGGTTTTGGCGATACAATCCTTACATCGGTAGACCATTGGATAAGAATTATTTTCATTGCATGGTTGGCAAGAATAGATGGCACCAAATCCGATCGAACTGGTAAACGATAACAAATCTCATCAGGATTTGGTGAAATTAAATCTCGAAATCGTTGTAGAAAATATATTCCGGTAGTAATGATCAAAATGATTGAATACAAGATACGGATGGCATTTCGTGAAATGATCAAAAACGATTGTCTTGAACATTGTGATGGGCGACGAAAATTATTTGTCATCCGTTCATTCAAATGATATTGCGGAGAAATGATTTCGGTTCCGGTCATTTCTCGAATTCGACGGATTACAGTACCATTTCGGCCTATTTCAATAATAATTATTATTTCGAAATTAAAATCTATTTGCTTTTCAATGTAGAATCAATCATAAAAGATATCAACCTACCAACAACACGAGCAGCCAGATAAGGATTTTTAAATTGAACACCAAAATAGATCAATTCGTCATTGTTTGAACAATCATCCGGATGATATAATTCGAAAAAATCGATCAATTCAAAATAATCCTCAAAATGTCGTTTAATCCATGTCTTTAATCGTCGAATTGATTCATTTTGGCCAAAGAATTTAGCATTATCTAAGAATTCTTGCAAAAATTCCATTTTTTCAAGATCAGAAACAAATTGAAAGCAAAAGAAATTAAAACTTATTACTTGTCGCACTATCGTTTCGAAAATGAATGTGAAAAAAGAAAAAATATCAAACGATATAATAAGGACCATTTTTTGCATTTTCCATTCAATAGCCAGACAGTCTGGCGCCTTATTATTTCCCTTGAATTTTCAAGTCTTGATTTTGCATGCGCATATTGCATTTCATTCACATTGCTGTATAGCATGAAACTATAGTAGTAGTATTTCTAAATTTCTAATTCCGTGGAATTTTGAATTTTCGAAAAAAGAAAAATTTTAAATTTTAACACGTTCGCTACCGGAGGTTTTGAAAAACACATAGAACTACAGCAAATAAACGACCAGCAAATATGCGTCGCTGGTAGCGAACGCGTTAAAATAAACAACCAATTCAATTTATTGAAAAAAACGTTTATCCGAAATTTCGAATTGATCATATATTGTACATATAATGTTGAGCTTGTGATGGGGTTTTGTTGTATATATTTTTATTCATAATAATAGATTTATCCATCAATGCACGAGCCAGAAATAATGAAAAAACATCCGGAAGAACATAGAACACAACCAATAACATGTTCTATAGCTTTTTTTTTGTAACCAATGTGACCCTCATTTGCGTATTCAAATTTTTTTTGATACCAAACAATTGTACTAAAAAAACGACGCATTAATGAAAAATCTCCGTAAAAGATATTGCGTCAGTTATCGATAAAATCTACGAAATCAATTTCAAGAAATTCACCAATCCAAATGTGAACCGGCCATTTGAACAATTGATTCAATTTCACATCCAGAATTATTATTTTTTTTTCAGTAGAAACAATAAGTCCACAATAAATCAATCTTCATTTTCAGTGCTATTGCAAAAAGAAAAAACACAAAACATCAAATGATTAATTGATTACCGTGGCAAATTAAGAATTGAAATTTCAATTGACGATTTTTTTTTTGTTCTCAATTTTGAAAAAGGTGAAATGGGACGAAATTCATTTGTTCCTTTTTTTTTTGGTTCAAAAAAAAGCAAGTTTGATTTGTGACACAAACCTATAGCACAAAACGAAATATTCGGATTACCTATGGGTTTCGAAAGAAGCAGTGTTTGTCGAGATATGTACAATTGGTTAATAGTAATGAATTAACAACAATATCCGATCTGCAAGCACAATCAATTTATTCAATACGTGCACAAGCATTTACAACACGTGGTGCTGGTCCATTATCACCACCAGTACAAGTAAAAACTCTACAAAAAATGTATACGTGAGAAAAGATAATTCTATCGTTCGAATGTACATTTGATCTTGACAAAGTTATCTTGAATCAAAATATTGCTCCTCCAGATATATTTCATGATATCTTCGGTAAGATGCTAATCATCATTAACCCAGAATCGATTAACTTGACTGATTAAACTTTTTTTTTCTATTTTTTTTCAAATAAATTCAGAAGGATGAAACAAAATATGATTTATATGTGAATCTTTTTATTCCATATTAAAATTATAATTCCTTTAAACACATATCGATGAAAGATGTTAAGAATCATCCTATTTTTTGGATTTATATTACCAATGAAATGAGATAACTCCAGTGGGGACACTCTTCACATGGTCATATTTCGCTTAGCGAAAATGAAAAGAAAAAAAAAGTTTCAAAGAGACCAAATCTTTCTTCAATCATAAATATTATTACCAGAAAAAAACATGAACATCTGAAAAATTTGATAAAATTTTTTTTTATTAAAATAATTTTTTCTTTATTATATTTTATTTTTTAAATGAAATCAATACGATTAGAACCATTTAGCCAGGATTTTTTGGACATCTATTTGGACAGCCATTCTTAACATCCCTTGCACAACAATATTGGAATTCCTTGTTCGAAAATTCCAAACCCGAACATAATCCGTGAATTCCGAAAAGTCAGTTCAGAAAAAAAAATTAGTCATGGTTGGATGTGTGTTGATGAACAATAATTTTAATTAATCAAATAATTATTATGAGATTCTGCATAGTTATTTGTAATCGGCAAATCTATGAAAAAAAAAATTTATAACAATAAATTGAATGATTAACAAACAAAAAAAAACTTACTTAATTTCGATCGAAAAATATTCAATGAATTTTTGGGCTGAATATTTATTTATTTATTTCTGATTTAGTTTTTCGTTTTGTAATGATTTCTTGAAAATGTCCAAGTTGGATGTCCCAATTTTGATGGTTGGAAAAGTAATATTTTCTACTTGGATAATATATCGATCTTATCTTAGAACGTTTATCGTTTTATTTGGAGATTCAAAAAAAAAAAAAAATTTGCTATAAAAAAGAATCATTATCTAAATGAAAATTTTATTCATTCAAGTCCGAAAAAAAAAACAAAATTACAAATTACAAAACATCAAATCAAAACAAATCAAATCAAAATATTGGTTGAATGAAAAAAAATTTGGTTCAAAAAAATTGATTATTACATTACATATATGTAGTGTATATAAATTAAATAGAAAAACAAAAAATGATGTAAACACAAACCAAAAAATTGGAAAATTGTAATTTTGAAAAAGAAAATTTGAAAAATTTTGTTGTATAAATGCCAATAATGATGATGATGGATGATAAGTACAAGTTTTTTTTTATATAAAAAAAAATCGATAAGATGAGATAAGATAACGAGGGTTAAAAAATATTTAATATCACTTTTTACAAGTAAAAAAAAGGTATATTGTTGTTGTTGTTGTTGTCGAAATAGTTTTTGATAGATGTTCAAAATGAATGATTCTCTAAGATTCTTGCCACACACAAAAAACGCACACACAATGAAATGAAATTTAGAAGAAGAAAAAAGCTTGAAGCTAAAATTGAGATAAGGGAAAGTAAATTATTATTATCTGAGATCCATATATTGTGTCCATCTTGAAGCCACGATGAAAACGAAGAACGATATACGAAAATATCCATATTTTATATGACAAAAAAAAAAATATTATCTTTTCATTTCCGAAATGTTCATTCATTCATTCATTCGACTACCACCATCATCAAGAATAAAAACCCAGGAATCCTACAATCAATACAAAAAACGAGGCACAAAATATTTTTTTGGTTGTGTTGGTTTCGATACATGAAAATTTCCATAGGATGTTTGTTTGTTTTTTCGGGAGAAAATTATGCAAATTTTTGAAAAGAAGAATGAATTTGAATTATGGTTGTTGAAGTAGAAATAGAAAAAATGGAAAAATTATACAACGATGAATGATGAGGATTCGACTAGAATCTTGATGTTTTTCTTTTTTGATTATAATAAAAAATTATTCGAAGAAATTTACAAATGAAGAAAGAATAATAATAGGAAACAAATATCTGTGACTAGTGGTTATCATTCATTTTTTCTGTTGTTGTTGTTGTCTTGGTTGTTTTTGTTGTTGACCATTACCTGAGCATTGAATATATTAGACATCAATTTTTAAATTGAAAATCTTTTTCTTTTTCTTTTTCTTTAAGCAGACATATCAAATGTACTAATATATTCAAGTATAGCACGATAACAAAATTGATATTGATCTTCAGTTTGTACCATACCCGGTCTTTGTGTTCGTAATGTACGAACAGTTTGAAATAAATCTAAAACATCTTCATTTTGCAGACGTTCCAATACAATACTTAATGTTATAAATACACCTGTACGACCAACACCGGCACTAAACAAAACAAAACAAAAATCAATTTAATTTAATTGAAATAACAAAAGACAATCAGAAAAGAAAAGAAAACATACCTGCAATGAACAGTAATAGGTCCTTCATGACCAAATTGTTCTTTTGTTTTATGTACTTGCGTTATAAATTCAATAAAACCTTCACCAGATTTTGGTACACCTTGTTCAGGCCAATCAACATAATGAAATTGTCTAATCATACGAGATTGGCCATCCTAGATAAACAAAAACAACAAAACAAAACAAAAAAAGATTAACAAAATGAATCGAAGTTACGATAATCAAGGTTAATTTACCCGAGCATCGGTTATTTTAAATTCCCGTAATATATATTGTGGTATATTATATTCGGTAATTGGTTCAACAACAAAATATGAATATCTTTGTGAACGTTCACTTGGCCAATATTCATGACATTTTTCCCTTCCCATTTCTTGTGTTTGTGTTAATGTAACAATAATATTTGAATTATGTTCCCAAATCATACGCCAAAAATCATCACCCGTTTCAATTAATGGTCCTTGTGTTGCAATATATGCATTACGATATTTATAACCATCAATAAAATTTGCATTTATATAATCTGATCCTTCTACACCACGAATTGGTTGTAAAAATACTCTTGTTGATTCATATGGTAGAATATTCATTAAACGATTTTTATGTTTATTACATTGTAGATTTGCACTAATAAATTTATTTTCATCATTATTTGGACGCATTGATGCTATTTTCTGAAATTCCAATTCCATATTTGTACAATTTTCACCCGGTACAAGTTGCATTAGATATTGAAATTGTTTATATAAATCTCTTGATGTTACTTCAGTATTACCAGCAATAACAGCTTCTAATACTGAATCATATATAAAAATATATTGATCTTCTGTTTGTACCATATAATTACGTTGTGCACGTAAACATGTTACATGACCATAAATATCAATAGTATCTTCACATTTTATACGATCTAACATTGAATCAATTACAATATAACAACCACTACGACCAACACCGGCTGAACAATGTATGATTAATGGACCAGCATCCGATGGATTCATTGTTTTAACACGACGTAAAAATAATAAAAATGGTGTTGGATGCCGTGGTACACCATGATCAGGCCATGCTGTAAATTGAAATTGTCGTACTTCACGTGCCAGATCAAATGTACCAACACGTTTTAATGTAAATGTTCGTATACAATATGTGGCTAGTTCTTCATAATTTACTAATGTTACTTCAATTTCACCATATTTTTCTGTACCTTTTGATGGCCAATATTGATCACATTTTATTCTTGTTCTTTCTTCCAATTTTGTCATCATTACAATTGATAAACTATTCTGTTCCCAAACCATACGCCAAAAATCACCAAATGTTTCTGGTAATGGACCTTGTGTTGCAATATAAGAATTTGGTTTACGATATGCATCGCAATAATTTGCATTAATATAATCTGATCCGGGTACACCTGGTATTGGTTGCAATACAACCCTACTATGATCATATGCAATAACATTAGCATAACGATTTTTTGGTTTATTCACAGGTAAATTTGAATTTTCCCATGTAAATTGTTGACCAGGATCAATTGATTCATATTCTTGTGAAAATTTTTGATTATCATTTTCTTTCAACATTTCAATATGATTTTCCAATTCAGTTATCGGTATTGAAGGATGATCACGCATTGCTGTTGTTTGATAATTTAATCTTCTTAATTCAACTGGATCTGATGGATGTATCATATGATCTTGTGGTTCAATTGTTTGTATTAATTGTTTCATTGATGTATCATTCAAAGTTGATTTAATAATTTGTCTACGATGTTTAACAATACATGCTACAATCGACATAACAACAACCATTATTGCTAATACAATTGATAAAACAAGTATTGGACCAGATTTATCACCAGTTCTACCCATTATTGGTACACCTTTTGGATCATATGTTGCACTTGTAATATGTACACGTGTTGGTTCATGATTCATAAAATTCATATTATTTTCCAAACTTAATAGATCGGAAAATGGTGAACTTGTAAACAGGCTTTTCTGTGGTGTATCAACAACCGCACGAACAAAAATACGATAATCAACATTTTTCTGTAATTTACGATTAATAAAACCATGATATTTTTGACCATCACCTAATGAAAATGTATTCGGTATTGAACGACGCATCCATTTGGCAGCAATATATGGACCGACTTTATCTATCGGCGTTGAACTTAATTCTTCGATTGTATATAAATCTGGTTCTTTATCGGCAAATTCTTTCGGTACAACAACCAAATAATAATGTGATATTAAACCAAATTCTTCAGATGCTTGTGGTAGAATTACTGTTATTAATTGTTTATTTTTTGATTCAATTGTATCTGGTTTGACCATTGGTTTTGGTGCAGCCATTGCTGTTGTTACAATTATTTTTGCTGCTGGCCGATAAATTTGACCATCATCCGATGGTATGGCTGTTACATTTACCTGATATGTTGTGAATGGCATTAATTTTGTAAGTTTATATTCAGTAGTATCGGATGATTCGAAAATAGTTTTCGGTTCAATTTTCAAACGTTGCAGTACACCTTGACTATCATAGAATTCTTTGTTCGCACCGAATGTTATTTTATATTTAACAGGATCTAATTTTCTTGGTGGTTTCCAATTCAATGTCATTGTATGTGTAGTAACTTCAGTTGATTGAAGATTTAATGGTACTTCAGTTGGATCAGTACGTACTGTAATCAATTCGGATAACCGACCTAAACCATTCCGTGTATATGCTGCAACACGTATTGCATACATTGTTTTCGGTTCTAATCCAGTTAATTCGGATGACCATGTTAATGGTAGTTCACGACGAAACCAAAGATCTAAATCTTCAACAGCAATTTGTGTATATAAAACAGTATAACCAAGAATATCATTAAAAAATGGCATATTTTCCCACCAAACTTCTACCGATGTTTCGGATGTTGCTAATGCTTGTACACTGGTTGGTGCTGGTGGTGCATCTCCAGGTGTCATTATCTGCAACATATCTGACCAAGGTCCTGCACCTTTTGCTGTATAAGCACGAACCCTAATTAAAAAATGGAAAAAATTAATATTCAAAACACGTTCAAAATGATAATTAATTGACTTTTCTGTTCAAGATAAGATAAAAATTATGAATTATTCATTCTTTTTTGACAGAAAAAAGTTTGAAAATTACCTAAATTTATATTCAGTATTTTCATCCAACGAACTAAATACCATACGTAGATTAGTTGTATTATATTCGGTTGGTATAATATCGATCAATTTATGAAAATGTATACCATAACCAGTAATTTTACCATTTTGTTGTTGATAAGCAGGTGGATCCCATGTAAAAACAACAGTAGTTGGTGATTGTAGACGATCAGTTATGTTTTGTGGTGGTGATGATGGTACACCTTCCGGTGTATCCAAATATGTAATCGATTCTTGTCCCCAACCAATCGAATTACGACCACTTAATCGAAATTCATAACGTGTACCACGTTCTAAATTTTCAATAATTTTTAATGTTTCAGCCGCTGGCATTATTATTTCATCACGAACCGTATCATCAACACGTCCATAACGTAGTTTATATTCCAATAATTGACTATAAGTTTGATTTGGTTTTGTCCAATAAACTTTTACCGACATTCTTGGATCATCTTTTAGAAAACTAATAAATATTTCCGGTTTTGTTGGAACACCACCAGCAGTTTTAACATTAACCGAACGACTACGAGTTCCATCACCTTTTCTGGTTACAGCTGCAACTTGAATGGAATATTCTGTATCCGGTTGTAATGTTGTAACATTAAATTCTTGTGCTTGTCCATCGGCAACATCAAAACGTAATTGTTCACCATTTGGTTCACCAATTTTATCAATTTCTTGTATATGAATTTGATAGCCACGAATCAGGCCATTATGTTCCGAATCTTCTGGATGTAACCAATGAACTTGTACGGATGATGAATTTATAGCCAAAACTTTTACATCACGTGGTTCACCCGGGACTAAACAACAAACAAAAAACATAAAAAATAGATTAAAAACACAATCGAAAAAAAATCAATTAACCCCAACCAAACCAAACATAATTGAACAGTGAACAAAGTGCATTAATTTGAAATTAATTGAAAAACGAAAACAGAGGAAAAAATAATTAATCATTATGGCATGCAAGAAAAGGCAAGAAATTTTTGTTTTTCTTCTTTTGGATAAAATACCCATTTGATCGATGAGACAATGAAGAAAGTTCTGTTAGCTTTCTTTCTTTCTTTCTTTGAAAAAACAAAAACAAAAACAAAAATCTTACCATCTTCTTCAGTACGAACAACAATAGGATCGGATGCTGGTCCATCACCAATTTTTGTACCAGCCAAAATTTCCACTTGATATTGTGTCCAATGTTTTAAATCATTTAAAATAAATTCATATGGATATGAATCACGATTCGAATTATTTATTTCGAATATTTTTTCCAATTGAATTGGTTCGGGTTTTTTGAAATACTCATCATTACCACCATTATCATTATCATCATCGCTATCGTCTTCAATGGGAATTTCACGATAACGAATTTTATAATAAATAATATGCTGTACACTAGAATCTTCGGGTGGTTGCCAACGAATACGTAATGAATGTGAACTTATTGCTCTAATATGAATTTCTTTTGGTGGTGTATCGGGGACTTGATTTTTTTTTGTTTCAAACAGAGTGAAGATATAACGGTGTATCATGCAATAAACCAAAAAACAAAAGGGGAAAACGAAAAACAAACGACATTCAAAACGAAAACAATAAACGAAAAATTAAAACAAAATCAAAATCAAAATAAAAAACAAACTAAAAGTTTGACCATTCATTGACCAAAATCCTGAAAATTTTAACTTACCATATTGATCAGTTTTAACTGGAATTGGTGGTGTTGAAGCACCTTCACCACGACGTGATTTAGCTGCAATCCATATATAATATAATGTATCTGGATAAAGATCAGTTAGTTTATATGTTTCAACAACTGGAATGGCACGTTTATATTCTTGATTAGTGAATGTATCATTCCAATAAATTTCATAACCAATAATTGATTCACCAGTATGACTTGGTTTATTCCATGTTAATTGTACGGTTGTTGCTGATATTGATGATGCTAATAAATTTAATGGTTGACTAGGTACACCTTGTTGTGTTTTTACTTGTACTGGTGGTGATAATGGACCAGCACCACGTGTTGTAAATGCTTGTGAACGTATTGAATAAATTGATTGTGCTTGTAGATCGGATATTGTTGTTAATTCATTACTATTAACCAATTGTACATCCCATAAATTAATTGGAAGATTTGGATTTAATGTATAATAAATTTTATAACCAGTTACTTGTCCATTAGGTTCTTCGGGTGGTTCCCATTGTACAACAATTGTTGTTGATGATAATGGCCGTGCTTGTACATTTCTTGGATATGATCCTAGCTCTATTCACATAGAAATAAATAAGATAAGATTATAAATGCAAAAAAAAAGAGTTAGACAGTTGTACAGAATAATCATCAAAAAATGAATATCATTATATATGAAAATAGATAAAGAAAAGAAAGAAATATTTATATATAGCATACTGTTAAGTCCTGAAGAGATGAGTGTTTAGATTATGGAAAGCATTTAATATTTTTTTCGGGGGAAAAAACAAGAAGAAAGAAAATGTTAATAAAGAATGTTGTTTTCTTTCATATTCATGGTTAAGATTAAGATATATAAATTATATGATATGAAAGAAAAAAAAATGGGATAAAAATCTTACTTGTTTCGCCCGTAGTAATAGAAATAGATGTTGATGGTTGTCCACGACCAATCGTATTAACGGCAATAATATAAAATTCATATTCAGTATATGGTGTTAATGAATTTATTACATAAAATGATGTTGTAATACCACTGATTTCGGAAAATTGTCCAGCATTTTTTGGTTTATATTGTATAATAAAATATGCAATATCTTCTGAACCAAAATCATAATTCCATGCTAAACGTACGGATGTTGGTGTTACATCTGATGCTTGAACGTTAGTTGGTGGCCCAGGTAATGATCGAACAATAACTTGTGCTGTTTTTTCAATCGAACCATGTTCCGATGTTGCAATACAAGTATAATTATCCGATTCTTTTACATTGGTTAATGTTAATACATTTCGACCACGTGGTATAACATCTTTATTCATTTCAATATTACCTTTACGCCATCTTACTTCAGGTAATGGTGAACCAGATGCAACACAAGTTAAATTAAGATCTTTATGTGGCATTATTTCATATATATTTTCTGGTGGTATTGTAAAATATGGTGGTACAACACGAACTTTTGAGAGGAAAGAAAATTGGAAAAGTTAATTTAAAGTTTTCACCGAGAATCTATTCAAAATCATACTTCGAACATGAAGTGAAGCCATTTCAGAATAAGCTGTACCGATTTTATTTTCGGCAACACATTCATAAGGACCTATAGAGAAAGCGAGAGAAACGAAACGAAAAAAATATTGAAAAGACGATCAATCATTTCCATTCTGAACAACAACAACAAGAAGAATCTTCTGCCGGCTACAAAAAAAAACATGTAACTTACCTTCATCTACTTCTTGAGCTTGTAAAATTTTCAATGATGCTTTTTGTTTGAAGAAAAAAAGATAAGAAAAGAAAATGATAAATTATCAAACGAAAATAAAGGAAAATTGACAATTGAAAACTATTTTACCTCCTTGATATAATGAATAACGTGGATTAGTCATATCGACCGGTATAGCATCACGTAGCCAATATATTTGTGGTTCTGGATCACCAATCGAACGACATGGTAATAATGCATTATGTCCTTTTTCAACACCTTGCATATTTGGTTGTAATGTAAATGATGGAAATCCTTCCGGTATTTTTTCCTCTGAAATTTTCATTCATTCAAAATAATGATTATAAAAAAAATCAATAAGCAAAGCAAAGCAAAGGAAAAACAACGAAGAAGAAAAATGCAAATAAAACATACCCGGATAAACATGTAGAATGGCTGTTGCACGAACCGGTTCACCAATACCATTTTCGGCTAAACATTCATATGTTGCATTATCTCGATTCTAAAAAAAAACAATAAACAAAAAATAAAGGTAAAAACAATAACGAAACAAGCTAAAAATCATAATAAACAAATTACAGACATGAATAATCTATACATATAAACATAACATAACAAAATGTTTGTAATGACACAAACAAACTAACTAATAACAAATTGAACAGAAAATATTATTCGTGATTATAATTTATGATCATCATCAACATCATATGCTTTAATCGAAAACTAACAACATATGGATACAAACAACAACCCTTAACGTTTTAAAACAACAACAACAACAATTATAATGATAACTTCGACATAATACAACAACAAAAATTTTTCCCTCTCTCTCTCTCCTTTCCGAGAAAAAACAAAAACAAAGATGATGATCATGATGATGATTGGCTACGGAAAATACAGAATGACGCCAATCATTCAATTGATATGATTATAACATTACACAAAAAACCTAAATCCAATACCCAAACATACACACACACACAGACTTTTTTACATTCATCCTAACCAGATGGTAATAATAATTATTACAAGATGAACGACACACACACACACACAGTGATATCATCTTTATTATCATCATGTAATTTGTATGGTGTATAATAATAATAATAATAAAAAAGGTGTTCTTTGGGTAATTGAAAACGACAGCATCAACATCAACAACAACAACAACAACAAGATTTATTATATGATTTGATATGACTATGATGATGATGAGGAATGAATCAATGTGACTATCCCAATCAAAAGAAAGAAGAAAGAAGAAAAAAGTTACGATTCGAATACGAATAAATTTAGATATTATTTTAACAACTTAATCATATCATTGGATTTCCCTCAATTCATTCATCATTCGAATCATTCAAATATAGAGATGTAATTCATAAATGTTTTCAATTCATTTCATTTCTTTTGGCATTGCAAAAACAAAAAACAGGTTATGATTGCTGATGCCTGATACAAACAGAATGCCAATCATCAGGGATCATCATCGGGATCATCATTGTTGACCAATCAAGAAGAAAATAAGAAGAATAAGAAGGAGGAAGAAAGGAGAATAATTGAGTATGGAAAAAATAAAAACAACCAAAATGGCCATTAGTTAGATAAAAACAAACAAAAACTAACTAAAACAAAACGAAAAATTTTACTCTATGTTTGTTTTTGGCTAAAAAAATTGTTCCATTTGAAATAAAAAAATCTGCAATGTAAAGCAAAAAAAAAACGAAAAACCGAAAAAAGTAAAAATTCCAAATGGATGAATGAATGAAGACAACGGCGAAAACGGCGAAATGGTCATTCATAAAGTGAATAAACACACAAACAAACAAACCACGCAAACCCTAATTCATTCCCTAATTCTTTCTCTGTGTTTTTATTTAAGAATCCAATTCCGATTCCAATTCGATTCGGTCAATTCCATCATCATCAACATCAGAATAAAAATTTGCTCGAAGCCAAATTATATTCTCTGATTCCTTTCACTATAATAATTTTATTACTTCAATTTCAAAACAAAATTAACCAAAATTAACCAAAATGAAAAAAAAGAATTGAATTACAACAACCACCATCATTCGTTTTAATGATGATGATCATCATCATAAAGTTTGTTTTTCAATCAATGTGAAGACAAGCAAAAAAAAAGTGTGAAAATTTCGTTATTCGATGATGATGATGATTTGAATGAAAAAAAAGGATAATTGATTTTTACATTGTCAAATTGACAATGTTCATCATTATCATTATCATCATCATCATTATTGAATTGAATAAAAATTGACAAGCAAGATTTTGTTCTGTGAATTAATTTAACCATGTCTCGAATGCGATCCAAAAAACCAAATTGAATGAATGAATGAAACATGATCATCATTTCCATAAATAACATATGGAAGACATATGAAGTGATCATCATCATCATCAGCAGAAAAAAAAATTCATGTTTCATTCATTCAAATCACAGTGGTCATCAACCTTTTTTTTTCTCTCTCTCTCTCTCTCAAATACAACCAACTAACCATACATGCCATTGAAAACAGACTTTACCATATCTGATAAGCCAGAAAAAATATAGAGAGATAAGATTTTTCAATACCAAAAACAACAAAAAGAGTAACTAAAAATAAAACTCGAACAGGAAAAAAAAATGGTCAAACAAACAACCGAACTAACCAACCCAACACCTGGGTCAAATGTAAACAGTAAATGACCATAATGTTTTCTTGGTTAAAATCGATGGCCATAAGGCAACAACAACAAACAAACAATCAATAATCAATAACACACCAATAAAGAATTGTGACCAATAACAAACCGAACGAAAAAAAAATAGGAAGAAGTAGGAAGAGTCTATTCATTTATTGAATGAAAAAAAAGTTTACAAGTCTACTCTATAAGGAAAAACTATTGACTATCAAAACAAAAAAATCGATTGCCAATCCCTGAATGAGAAAAAAAGAAAAGAATAAAAAAGAATAAACCGGATCGATATCAACTAACCAGAATAATAATTGATTGTAAATTGATTGATTTTTTTTTGTTGTTTGAAAAATTTTTTTCAAAATTTTCAGCCATCTTTTACCTCTTTAACTGTACCGGTTTAAAATTTTCAAACAAGTTTTTGAAAAAAGAAATTCCATTCAAATTCTTTTCATTAAAAAAGCAAAATTAACCACGGTATTCGAAAACGAATAAGGCAATCTTATTTAAGAAAAATTTGAGAAACGAAAAACAAAACAAACTTACCAATTTAACTGGTTCAATACGTAAAACTGATCCATTTGGAAATGAATAAACAGAATAACGTTGTGTAGTAAGATGACGACCATTTTTACGCCATTCAATTTGTGGTGGTGGTGTACCAATAGCCGAACAAATAAATGTTGCTACACGACCCGATATAACATATTGATCTTTTGGTGGTGTTATTATTCGTGATGGATGTCCTGTTTAACATTGATTGATTAAAAAAAGAAACCAAAATACAAAACAAGAATGAATAAATCAGTAACACGAGGAAAATTCTCTTATCAATATGGCAATGGCCAAGAATAACATCTTGATTTGAACGAAACACACACACACACACATATGTTTTTTCAATCTAAAATGATTTTCAAATGGAAAAACACATGGAAAAAAGGAATAATGTCGATAATAATTATGATAATAATAATGTTCAATTAATCAGATTAATTAGTTAGTAAAGAAAAAACTAATTAATTAATTAATAAAGTTGTCAAATCGGATCATTGCTACTGATGTTATTCATTCTTTCAATCAATTTGACAATGATGATGATGATTAACAAAATGAATCCATTGGATCGGAATGAGAAAAAATGAAAATGAAAATGAAAATCCGATCAGGATTCATAATTATTATCAATCAATCAATAAACTACAGCTATCCTATCTCTCTCTCTCTCCCTAACAAACTATACTTGCTTTTCATATATGAACCAAAAGTTTTTTTTTCTGTCCAAAAAAAAAAATTGGTTATGAAAGAATAATGCAATGATCCATGAAAAAAAAATGATAATATTGATGTTGATGATCAATAAGAAGATAAATTCTATTCAATCGATACAAACATTACATAAAGAAAAGAAAAGAAAGAAATCAGAATGCAAAAAAAATAAGGGTCCCTTAAAAATAAAATATTCACATCGCCATCATCATCATCATCATAGACATCTACATCATCGACATCAAATATTCAGTGATCAAAGATTCACACACACAAAGAAAACAGAAAAAAAGATTCGGCCGGCATATCCATTATTCTCTATCACATCAAACCATCAACCAAGAAAAAATTCGAATAGAATTGGTTTTCCAGATGTGACAAAACACACTATACACAGACATTATACATAAACGTCCAAAAATCAAAAGAATCCTATCACCAATTCTCGAAGAAGAAAGATTTTGACTAAAAAGTTTTTTTTCCTCTCTGGATTTCACAATTTTGAACATTTTCGACATTTTTTTCAAAAACATATTTCTCTTCTTGCTGTTTGTCTATTGATCAATCGGGAGAGAGAAATACTACATCCCATCATCATCATCATCATTATCAATAGACCACAATTGACCACACAGAACAATTTGTGATTTCACACAAACAATTTTCTTTAACTGTTTAATATTCAGGTCCATTGATTCATTGAAATTGTTGTTGTTTGGTCAATGATGATGATGTTCAATGATTTTCACATCATCGACCAACATGGACAACAAATGTCGGGATTTTTCTGTTATTGTTCGGATCTGAATCCATAATTCAAATGATGACAACTACACCGACAACTATCGACTACAACGAAAGAACTGATTTACAAAGGGAAAATTTTCGTTCGCTTTCTTCAAACCAACGAAAAAACATCCAAAACCAAAATTAGTCACAAAACATTATCATTGATGATGTTTTTCAACCAAAAAAAGAAAGGTTTTCTTATCTCAAGTTTTTTCTTCCCAAAGTGTGGAAAGAAATTTTCCATCAATTTTTCCCTTCAATCATCTTTATCATTTTCGATTTTTCCTTTCATCAAAAACATTTGTCAAATACAAAAAGAAAACTTGTTATAATTTCAATTGACATGAATGACATTCGACAAACAAACGAATAATAATGATAATTAAAAATGATTGGAAAAAAATTTTTGTTTCGTTTCGTTTCATTAATTGAATCATTGATGGATGGAAAAAGAAATGAAGTTTCCCTCTCTTCCAACATCGACAAACTGATAATCTTGGAATCGAAGATTTTCCTTTTGTAAAAAAGAAATTGTTTGACTATTTTGACAAGAGAGGGACAGAAAAATTGAATTATCGTTAAGAACATATTATAATCATATTAACTAATTAAAAGATTAAAAAAAAACTACAACTACAAAAGTAAAAAAGAGTTAATCAGCAGCAGCAGTAGAAATGGATTATATAAAAAATTGAATAAAATCAGCCACTTTTGGTTGGATTAAAGCTTAAAACAGGACAAACAGTCAGTCAGTCAAGACAGACAAACAAACATCAAAGATTAAACAAACACAAACAGTATAATCGCCTTAAACAACAAACAACAACAAAATTCTTTTAATTACAATTTGATTTCCATAGGATAAAATGTCATCATCAAATGACTTTTTCATTTATCAAAGGAAAAAATAAAAATTGTAAATTTCTCTATAGCCTGATATATACCTGTGTGCCTGATACAGTTTGTAACTTTACCTAAGTGAATCAATTAATCATAGTCCCTGTGAACCCAAAAAACTTTCAACTTAATAAACAGTATTCATATGGAAGAAATTCTGGTCAAAAACAAAAATACAAACCATCTGAACGAGCCAAAATTATCGATGGAAATATTGTAATTTGTAATAATAATAATAATAATAATAAGGATAACAATGATAATAATGATAATGATGGATAATTATTCATTATCCGTTGATAATTATCATGTTGTTGTTGTTGTTGTTGTTGATGGTGATGTTTATTTTTGATATGATCATATCGTTGATGGTAATGATGATGATGATGATGATATATTTGTTTTGTTCTTTTATTATTCACCGAAAATGATGTTCTTGGATGATTATCATCATTATTATCATTATCATTTGATTTGGTCATCATCATTATCGATGATGACCAACTATTTTTCTGTATCAATTTAATCATATTATATATTTAGGTTTTTCTCTTTTCTCCTGATCTAATAACGAAGGAAATTATTCAAATTTTTAGGATGAAAATTTTCAATGATAAAAGATGAAACTTGTTTTTTTTGGTTTTGGTTTTCCTATGTAATGTAGATATGTTGATGATATGATAATGTTTTGGAGTTGGTTGGTTGGTTTGGTTGAATTTTTTTTTTTTGGTCACATTTTTTTCCGAGAGAGAAAAAAATCTCTTATCGTCACTGATGGCACACAATTATTTTGTTGATATTCGAAGAATTTTCTGAAGTTTTTCTTCACCACACCACCACTGGCTCACAACAAAACAAAACAAAGCAAAACAATCGAAGGATACACGTTTTCTTTTCGCTGTGGTTGTTGTTGTTGCTCACAATTTTGATCAATAATTGCACAACATTTCAGTCGAATTTTGCAAATTCAATTTTGGTGATGGTCAGAAAAACCAAAGAAAAAAACACCCACTCACAAACACAGATTTCGTTGTTTGACCATTGATCAATTAGAGAAAAACATGGAGAAAGAGTGAGTGAAGAATTTGTTTCGGGAAGAATAACCGAAAAGAATTCCCGATCGATGCTAGTAGAATTTTCGGATTCCATTCGTTGGAACACTAGCTGCTGCTGCCGCTATATGAATTTTTGTCACCATTTTTTTTTCTGAATACAGAATCAAAACATGCTGCTGCTGGTGATGATGATGATGGAAGAAATTTTGATTTCGACGGTATCATTTTTTTTTGTAAAAAAAACCAGAAAAGAAATGTTTATAACCGAACAGAACCGATTCTGGAACCTGGAAATTCCAGTAAAAAAAAAAAAGATTCGATCAAGGGAGTATCATCATCCTTGTCTCATCATTACTACTACCCCACTGCCACCACTATCACCATTTTTATTAATCACCACTACCACTACTACTATTCACCCGAATCATCATAAACATTCGAAATTCGGGATCCACCGAGAGAATCTACCCGAATTCTTTGTTTTTGTTTGAAATTTTTTTTTTTGTTCAAAAATTTTTTTCCAATAGAACCACCATTCATTTCAAACTTTTGTTGTTTTCAACGATGAATTTTTTTTCTTTTCTTTTCAATTCGGCGTAAACAACACACCAACAACACAGCAGAACAAACAAAGATCTTTGGTTGATCCAACCAAAACAAAAAATGAACAGACAAAAAAAAACGATTCGAATCGTAAAAAAAAAGAACTCGCCGAGAAAAACAAAAACCCAAACACAGCCAGCCAACCAGCCAGCATAAACAACATGAAGAAGCTATCATCAACTCTCTCTCTCTCTCTCGCTCTCCCACTATATTTTCCTTGATATCTTGTTTCTAAGACCACGACGACATTTCTCTCTCTTTTACTATACACTCAAACCATTATCTGTCGATCCTATCCACCAAAAAAAAAACCATTTTGATCATACAACCATGACATAATGATGCTACTACTCTATGGATTGGATAGGATATCTTGAAATGAAATGAAATGTTGGTTAAGAATGGACAATGTAGTTCCATTCATTTCATTTCATTTTTGTCTCGGACAAAGTGGACTGATCTTTCAATGTGCATTTTTACATTCGATGAATTTGTTGTAGTGGTCGTGGTCGTCAAAGTTCTCTGCTCTTTTATGATCCTTTTTTTTTTTTTGGATCATCAATGAAACACACCACACATGTCTTTTTTGAAAGATCCGATTGCGCAATCTCGACGAATACGACAAGAAGATTTACCCGAAAAATGAAAATAAAATTTTTGGCGCCGGTTTCAACCCCGCCATTATTATCATTACTGTTATATTATTGACACCATCTGACATCTATCGGTTATAAAATTGAATTTTATTTGGAATTTTTTTTAATTTAAAAAAACAAATTATAAATTATGAAATTATAAAATTATAAAATTAAATAATTAAACAAACAGAACAATTTGTAATACGATTTGCAATACGTGCACGTGTTATAACCGATATATTATCATCGGTTATTATTTGTTCAGTAAATGGTAATTCATCTCTTGTCTATTTATATCCATAATATATATTGATCGATGGTCAAGGCCATTGGTGGTGGAAATAGAAATTTAAAAGAACAATCAGATAAAATTCAAATTCGAATGCTAAATTAGTAAAAATCCTTACCAATTGTTGACTATTATTTCTTGATGATGATTGTTGATGATGATCATCAACATTATCATTACCAATATTTGAATTACGACGTGTATTTTGTTCGCTAATATTATTACCACCACCCGCACCCGCACCACCACCACCATCCCCACCATTAATTAAATGTTCAATATCACTTTCCATTAAAATTGGTGATATTTGTGATTCATGTGAATTATTTCGTCGTAATATCATTGATGATGTTGATGATTGTATACGTCTTATTAGACTTTGATGTTGATGATGATTATGATGATGACCACCAATATTACCACCCCCACCACCACCACCACCAATGCCAAAATGTTGTTGAAAAACATTTGAATAATGATTATTTGTTGTTGTTGAACCATTTTGATGATAATGATGATTTATTGAAAAATTTCTTGATTGATGATAATGATGATTTGAAGGATGATGATGATGATGATAAGAATCATGTATTCGATTACGACCAATTTGTTGTTGTTGTTGTTGATGTGATAAACGATTACCCGAATTTGTAAATAAATCCGGTAATTGTAATTGAAATGATCTTGTTGAAATAAATGATGATGTTGTTGATGATGTTGATGAATCCGAATAACCAGAAATATATCTTGAAATATGATCAAGTATTTCACGAAAACGTGTTTCAGTATCTTGTGTACGACCAGTACCATGATGACTACCAACACCACATAAATCAACATAAACAATTGATGACATTATTAATGCCATTGCACCTGGTGGTGGCCATGGTGTAAATTCAATAATTAATGGTAATATTGGTTTATGTAAAACATCAGCTAATGCTACTTCACGATTACACATTGATGATGATACATATCTAGGTGTTAGACAACTAGCAGAAAAAGATAGAAAATACATAGAAAAAGAAAATCAGACCATCAAATTCACCATTGAATTCATCATTATTATCAACAACAAAAAATTTTTACCATATAAATACTTTAGCTCGACTTATTCCTTCATAAATTTTTCCATATAATGAATCACCACCATTAATTGATCTATGTAGCAACGTAGCAAACAAAACAAAATTATTCAAAAGTTTTTCAGGCCAAAAGTAAAACACAATAAAGATTAGATTGAAAACATATTTCCAAACATTACATACCTTGTATCCATCCAACAAGGAAAACCAGAAAGTTCAAGCTTTCTTCTAATCTCTGTGATTTGTTTGATATTGATCAAATGGAAAAGTTATTATTGACCGATCACCATCAAAATAATAAGGTCAGGTCAAATGTTGTTGTTGTTGTTTGTCAATCACAGCAACAACAACAACAGGAGTTTGTTACAGAATTTAAAAAAAGAAAAGAAAATCAATTAGAATCAATAAAATTATCAACATGGGTCATCATCAATGAATGAAGAATGGTAATAGTGATGGTCAAAGGCCATATCAAATTCAAATTCAAAAACAACTTACCAAGAACTTGTTTCTGTGAATCATGTTGATAACTAAGAAATATTGGTGGTGATGATGATTCAGGTTCTAATTCATATTCAATTAATGATGCAATATCTTCACGTCGTAACATACGCAGACATGAAACAAGAACATCAATACAATATCGGGTACGACCATTTGATTCATACCAATCATTCAATAATGCTAATGATGGTGATAATTCTGAATTAAATTTCATAATATCACGTTCAGTATAGCTTAAACGTTTTGCTAATGCCATCCAATCATTTGTTGTTGATGATGATGATGATGATGATTGCTGAAGATTGTTATTGTGGTGGCCAACAATATGATGATGATGTGATTTTTTCCCATTAACATTCAATAATTTTGCTGCTTCACGCATCCATAATTGTTCAACTTGGAAAACATTTTCCCATACATTTGTATTGTTTGTGGTTGGCATAAGCATTGTATTATCATAGGAAATATCATCTTTGGAATTTCAGAGGATTTAAAGAATTTTGGGGTTAATTTCTGGTTCACAAGAGCAGCAAAATAGAACAAACTTACTATTCAAATTGATTGGCGTATATGGAAGGAAACGATGAATGAATGTAGTACGAACCTGACGATTAAATCTACATTCAACAACTTTTTTCTGTAAACATTCATGTAAACTAAGAAAATGCAGACAGGATTCATCCAAACAGCCTTCGATTGAATGTTTTTCACAAATAACATCACATGGACATGGTATAACAAGATTAAATGACAAACGTCGATAATAGGAATTTTTCAATGATGCTAATTCATTTTCAATTAAATGTTGTACTTTAACACAAACATTTGCAGCTGGACCGATGAATAAATTTTCAATTTGATCATTTGGTATTTCTTCAAAAATCTTAACAATAATCAAATAAATACGATGTTGAAATAGATTAATCTTGAGTATAATATCATGATCAAATTCAACAGCTATTCGGCCTTTGGAATTGAACATTTCTGGTTTACGGCCCCAACCTTGATTCCATGACCATTTGGATAAACGTACTAATAAACGAGTGAATAGGCTCTGGTAATATTGATAGAAAAAGAAAAGAGAAAACGGTGTTAATCAAAGTTGACAACAACCACCATTAACAACTTACAATTGGTAAAATATTAAATTCAATAATAAATTGAAATGTTGATCCACCAATAGTGGTATTAGCATTTCCACCTAAACATTCATCATTTGGATCTGGACTTGGATGACCATTTATCATTGAATTATTATTTATTGTTGTTGCTGTTGTTGTTGATTCATCACATGGTGATTCGGATCTACTATCATTAGTTTGATTATCCGTATTTTGACCACCACCACCACTATCACCAGCTTCATCGGTAGAATTTACAAATTCTGAAGCCGTAGTATCATTATTATTGATCAATGGTTTTGTAATCCAAGGAAAAAAATATAATTTCGGTACAGTTGCTGTAGCCGAAATATCTGGTACATCTTCCATCGGTAAATATGGATTAATTTCACCTTTATTTCAAAAAAAAAGTCATTCGATAAGCTTGTTAAATAACAGAAAAAAATATTTACAAACTTACAAATTAGATCAAGATTTTCCAAACAACCAAGCAGAATGAATTTTTGATCAATAATATTTGACCAGGCATTATTGATGGCATTTTCACTTTTTTTTCCATGGATAATATGCAGTGATTTAAAACAAACAAACAGAAATGATAAATGAGCGAATGAGAAACGCAAGACGTAAAAATCATTACTTACCTAATAATACCAAGAAAAAGATTATCATCATCATCATCACCAGCACCATTATTTTTCATTGAACATAAATATGAACAAAGATCATAAATACAACGAATAAACCAATTTGGATCGAGAATAATAATTCCTAGTTCATATGAACCATGACGATCATTAGCCGATGCAAATGCATTTTGATTATTAATACAATCTAAATAGAATATTTTCCCTTGATTATGATAGAAATATAAAGCGGAGTTAAGATTTTCATATGATTGAAACATATCGATTTGTGATGAAACAACTTCATGTAGTTGATAAACATCAACAAAATAAATACCACGTTGTTTAAATTTTTCCAATATTTGTTCTAGCTGTATCCAACAAAGTGGTATTGAAAATCCGGCTTTTTTCTCATCAAAAATTAATGTTTCAATCAGATGGCGAAGATTTTCAATCAATTCTGGTTCATCAAATGACATTTCTTTACAATCCAATGCAATATGTTTTTCAAACAAATGTCCCGAATAGCTTTTATCCGCAAATGATGAACGTATTTTATCGAAAATTTCTTTTACAATTTGATTACGGGTAATCGGTTCAGCATGTATCGAATTACGATGTGTACCGACCAGCAATATTTGTGGTTGAAGTAATTCGAATGTTTTTGATTCTCTACCACCACTATTATTCTGTGTTTGTGTGGAGTTTTCATCATTTTTCGGTGATTCGGATGTTGGTTCTTCTTGTTGTTGTTGTTCACCATTTTCATCGACAGCGGTCAATGTTGTTGTTGCGGCTGCTGCCGAAGATGATTGAGATGGCGGTGGCGATGGTGATACTTCAATCGGAATCGGGAATCCGGCTATCGTTGAATGAATTAGCGATATCCATAGATGAATGGAATGTAGAATGTTTAATGATTGATTTCCAAATTCACTCTGAATCAAGAAAGAAAAGAAAACAAACGATTTTTTACCCGGAATTTTTCCATAAGGACAATACTCACAATACAGGAAATATTTTCATATTTAGATAATGTTGTTGTTTCAATATCATCGGATAAATTGAAAACAAATAGATAAACAGCACAACTTGTAAAGAAAAATTGATTAATAAATAGATATAAAAGATTTCCACTAAAATCATGAATATTGAGTATCAGTTTTGGACGATTTTCATTTTTATTTGTTGGATTTTTTGCCGTTGATGATGATTCACTTGTAGTATTCGAAGAAGGATTTTTCTGTTCGTTTGTAATTGCTTTGAGCATTTCTTCAATCATCAACATGAGTTCATCGGGAATTTCATTCTGAATTCAGTGAAAGAAAAAAAGAAAAATCAAAACTAAAGTCATCGAATCAGTGAACAAAAAAAAAACTTACCAAATTTTCACTTAGCTGTTTAACTTCTTTTGAATATGGACGTAGAATTTTACGTGGAAATCTCAGAACATTTTTAATCAAATCTTTTGGTGAATGTGATTCATATGAATCAAATTGATCTTTATTCGATACAATTTCCTGGACAATATTTTTCGATATTTCATGATAAATATCTGATTTATCTGAATGTATTATTTTTAATTTTGTATTCGTTACTGAATTCGATAGTAAATTCCATTCACCATTTTTATTGTTTGTAATTAGTTGACATACGGATGGATCGGTTGATATTTCATCGTTATGATTATCCTTTGGATCTTTTGAATCTTGATTCCTTGATCAAAGATTATTTAGATTAATGGCCAAATCGAACGATTTTTTCGTCTACTTACAAATTACTGATGAACATATTCTTTAGTTGAGTTTTTCCGGATAATTTTGGTCCAATCAATATAATACGTGCCGAATTATATGGAAATATACCCATTTCACCACATTTATAAGTAGAATAAATATCCGAACCAAGTGAAATAATTTCTTTTGAATTTGGTGATTGATAACGTGGAAATTGTATCTGTTCTGTTTGGCCATAAATATCAATAATTAACCATAATGGAAATTGTATGGGTAAATTTTCCAAAAAAATATATTTCAAATTTGTATCGAATTCAGTTGTTATTTCAAAAAATCCATCCGAATTCAACGATAAAATTAAACTTGCATTTGACCAATCCGAATTGATTGGTTTTATCCAAACATCATCAACATTTGTTGTTAATAAATTTATAATATGTTTGGAATAAACGGTTTCAATAAAATTCGTAGGGTTTCGAGTGGTTAATCCTAAAAAACATTGTCCATGCCATTCGGAAGTCTGCCGGGATGATAATTTTATTATAATCGGTTGATTCAATCGTAATGGATTTGAACTGAATACGAATGCATCACAAAATGAATTTGTACGACGAGCAATATGTTTTGTTTCATCAATGGATGCATTAACACCATGTACATCATGAAATTTCATCATCATTCTTTATTCTTTATTCATAACAAACTTTCACCAGAATCAAAACCGAATCAACTGCCTAAAAAACCAAACAAACAAAATTGAAAGGAAAAGTTCATTGTTCAATTCGTTGTTGCCGAAAATTTATTTTCAATGCAAAACCAAAAAACCAAAAAAAACCGAGAGAAAAACCGAAAAAAACCGAAAAAAACCAGAAAACCAGACACGCACAACATTTATCGATCCAAGAAGAAGGGAAACCCGCAATGACAACAACAACAACATTCGAATGCAAAGACGTTCGATTTTTTTTTTTTGAATTTAGAAGAAAAGAATCGAAATCGTGAAATCGAAATAAGAAAACTACACCTATATATTTTTTCAGTTTATTTTTATTATTTTTTGGTGAAAAAAAAGAAAAAACCTTGTTAGTTTGTATCCATAGAAACTAATTATAATGTTGTTTTTTTACTTTATTTTTAATTCTTTTCTTTTTATTAGATAATAACTGTTGTTGGTGTTTATTCACATAAATAGATCTCGACATTGATCTTCAATCTTGTGAATGATCTTTATATTGTCCACCATTTCGGGTAGATAAATGTCATATTTACATATGGATCATCTTCTGGTGGGATTCGAATGATAATGATGATGATGATGATTTTAACCACTTTGAAACAGGATTTTTTTTTCAGTAAAGTATTTAGTAATTAACAAAACAAAACAAAACGAAACAAAAAAATAAAAAACTAAATCTGTACAGAGGATATTATAGTTTTTCTTGTTGTTGTTGTTCTTGCTGTTGTTGAATTTTTCGATAACCACATATTTCTTTCAACAATAATTCTTCAATAT